CTTTTAACTCACCTGTAAGATTCTTTGCAAGATTGATGGAAGGGCAATAAATGCTGCCATGCTGTTTAGAACTTGCATGGTCAAAGATTTCAAAGCTGTTGTAATAAAATGTTGATATTAAGGTTAGTTTAAACTAAGAGCTTTTGGTTTTTCCTACACACCAGCGGAAAACAGATTTTTATAGCTGCCTAGAAATAGCTAACCAAGGCCAGTTTGATATTTTAGAGTTTAACTACTGCAAAGCTACTAATATTCAAGATAAATGATGTAACTGGTGCCATGGAAAGTACTGAATCTGAAAGATGAAATCAACACTACAATATAATTTCATTAAGCTATAATAATATGATACTGGGAAAAGTTTCACAATGTTAATTTTTAGCTGATAAAAATTGGGTGGTGGTATAGATGGCTCTGATGAACTTACCTTCGGAGTGCAGGTGAGGTGTAGCTGAACTGGACAGCTTCTGAGGGGCCATCATTGCCTCCAATAACGGAAACCAGAGTGCCTATAACGTCAGAGTAAACCAAAGGAAAACAAAAGTGCTGTGTTATTTTTAAGAATAAGTAACATCAGTATAGTGTTTTACATGTTGAAATGTACTTCTCACATACTTTTGTTGGTAAAAATTAGAAAAAGAAAAGATGGAACACTTGACTGGGAAAAGAAAAGACAATAAAAAGCAGGGACACAAAACAGATATCTTTACCATGCATCCTGGGAAAACAAGGAAGCTGAAGTTAAGTAAGTTTATACCTCAGAACTGCAATCTTTGGTGTCTCAGGAGAGGGTAGGTTTAAAGGGGCCGGGGCAGAGCCTCCTGCTAGGTTATTAAATACTATGGCATAAATGCATCACTGACAAAGTCTAAACAGCCCTCTGTACCACAGAAGGGAACAGAGACACCACCCCCCCAGCCACCCTTCCCCCATTTCTCTTTGGCTATGTCAAGCAAGGTAAATGAAGCATTATATAATACATAAGTAACAACCAATGATTTTTTTCCTATATGAAGCATTATTTTGTATTTCCTTAGTCATCACAGACCAAGAAATGGAAGTTAACATTATTTTAATTAACATTTCCAACCACATCATGAGATAAGTTAATAGATCTATCATTTATTTATTCCTATTATATTGGGCACTGTATTAAATGCTCTACATAGATTTTCTCACTTCAGTCTCATAATAACCTTATACAGTGAACATTATCTTCACTTGAGATAAGAAAATGAAGCTTAGGAAACAAAATGTAAGTAACTTGCCAAAGATTACACTGCCAGTAAATTGGTAGTATGACTCCAAATTCTGTGCTCTTCTTAAGCCTTAAGAAATATCTTTATCATCAGAAATCAAATTAATACATTTTAAAAATTTCAAACATGCTTTTTAGTTGGATAGTGATTTACAAAGGCCTTCACCCAGTATCTAGGAGGAACCTATTCCTATAAACATCCACACAGCAGAGAAGGACAAGAGTGGTTATCTACAGAAGAGGGCATGTTCTGTACCCCATCTGACACTGTAGAGCTTGTGTGACAATGGAGATATGGGAGCCTGTTAAGGGTCCAGTGACTTTCCTACTGGGTGACCTCCCACTAAGGAACTCTGCTAGGAAGCCCTTATCTGCCCCCATTTGAGGTTCTCCAAGGCGAGGGTTTTATAATGCCGACTTTTTACATATTTCTTCAAGTTCTTAAGATACTGGCTTTAACTCTGTTACATACTAGCAATTCTATATTTTATTGAAATTTTAATTTATTTTATTCAGTATTCATGAACTTTAATCTTGTATTTTATTCTTTTTCCTTTTTTTTAAATTGAGGTAACACTGGTTAATAACACTATATAAATTTCAGGTGTACAACACTATAATTTGATATCTGGATACTCTATTGTGTGCTCACCATCAAAAGTCTAGTTTCCATCTGTCACCATATATTTCACCCCATTTACCCATTTTGCCTTCCCTTTGGTAACCTCCAATCTGTTGTCTATATCTATGGGTCTGTTTTGTTTTGTGTGCTTGTTTGTTACTTTTTACTTAGCTCACCTTTACATTGCCCATTTTAACTTGTTTTTACAACTGCATCATTTATTTCTGTGTATTTTATGGTCTTTTAATTGTATATGGCATACCTAATAACATAACCCCTGTTATATAATACACAGCTTTCTTTTCAGGGAATTATATGTATAACAAAGCCGTATTCTTTGTTATATCTAAACAGCGGCACTGGGGTAGCAGCATAAATAGACAGACATACAAAGACAGGACAGGTAGAAAATCTACTTGGGAAGTGACTGTCAACCCAACTTCCTGTGGTCAAACTTTAAAAAAATACTCCATAATATTAAATTTCCTGAAGAAACTTTTAGAAAGAGATATTATAGATAGTTCACTATCAAGCTTTTATAGTTAGTTTAGGGTCTGTGGCAATAGCTCTTGTTCTCACTCTCTCCAAAACAATGAGAGAGAATCAAGGCAAAGCAACTATTAAAATCTCCCTAACTTAAAGTTTGGTATTATAAAAGCAGTCTAGCAATTTCACAAAAATGTTATTTATATAAAACCAACATTCAAGTATTTTTGTTATTATGAAGCAGAAACCAGTTGTTGGAAATGGGTGGGTAGAGAGTGATGTGAGGTATATGTGTGTCTAAGAAAGGGAGAGACAGATAGATTTCCCTTATAGACAGACTTCTCTTATATACAGCCAGAAAATGGTGTAACTATAATCTTAGAAAAGTGAAAATTTCAAAGAATAGAAAGAAGTCTAACATCTGTTTATCAAACAAATTCCATCTCACTTTTTGACAAAAAAATTAAATTAAATTAAAAATATATATATATTTATATATATATTTCCTTTTTGCCACATCAAAGGAAACCTTGATCCTGTATCTGATTAAGAAATACAGAGTTCGAATAAAATTGGAATAATCCCTAGAGTTCTGGAGGCACAGATTTTTATACCTAATTCTACCATTAATAAATGAGAATCTGGACATATTTCAGTTTGTGTGAACCTGAACAGCTCTAATTATAAAACACAATTGTCATTTTTTCCTTAAAATTTCCATGAGAAGAAGAAGAGTATCAAATAGGTATTAAAAAGGAGATGGAAGGGTTGAAAAATAAAAATGGCTTAGTATCGAATATGTATAAACACAGCTATAACAATTTTACTCTTTTGTGGTTTTCTATCAAAATATAACCATGTCCAAATATAGCCAGCTAACCACAAGATAAATGAAAAAAACAAAACAAAACAAAAACTTAAGATGGAAAGATCATGGTAAAAGGGCTGGTGTAAAGCCTCTTATCCATTTGAATAAAGATTAAACAACCATGGGAATTATGGATTCAGAAAAGAATGTATTATTAACCTTAATAAGATAAAATAGCATAACTAATTAAAGTTAAAATGGTTGGAGAAGAGAGGTTAGAGGAAGTATGAGTTCATGCAAATTTCCTTACTGGCTTGGAATCATAGATACTATAAAAACTGAAATGTAATAATAATCCCAATCTATTATAGTTCAGATTTTTTAAGCTTGAGTGTGATTTATTAATAGCTAGTATGGGGAAGAAGTATTTGAAATTCAGCAATTTCTCAGTTTTACATAACCTTCCAAAATGAGATTGAATTCTACATTTATTTTAAAAGTAAGCATTATTTGATCCAATTTTTCTAAAATTATGTTAACCTAGGCAGATGAAAAACATCTAGAGTAGTTTTCACCAAATGATAATGATGGTTATTTCTGGGTGACAGAATGGTCACAAGGTAATTTTTAAAAACATCCTTCTGTATAACTTTCTGTATTGCAGGATTTCTTTGAAATGATGGGTATGTATCTTTCACATACAAAAAAGTTGTTTAATAAAGAAAAACACATATTATGTAAAAATGCTTGTTATACACAATTCATATTCTAAATGGTTTTCAAAATATATAACCTTAAAAAATCCTTGACAAAACATAAAGGAGAAATTTACCCATCTCATAAGAACAGAAAATGTACAAAGTTTATTATTTCCACTTTAACATGCATTGCTAACTTTACATGGAACATTTATCCTGCTTTCTGTTTCAGAAAACCAGGCAACGGGAAGAGGCCAGATGGTGTCAAGCCAGAAGCCACAGCCTGGAGGGGCAGGCACCAGACAGCTATGCCAGATCATGCCACCAATTTTACTTCTTAAAACTACTGCAGAATTTAGCTGTCAAGTCATATCTCGTCCCCTTAGTTTCTGCTCACTGCTGTAACTCCCACCTGCACCTCCCACCTGCACAGGGGCTCAACTATTCCTCCTTTGGTTTGTGCTCTCCCCTTTTGCAGTCTGGAATCTGTCATAGCAGTGTTTCCACCCTGGGCTGCACAGTGGAATCATGTGGGAAGCTTCAAAACATAGTGATAACTGGGTCAGAGCCACAGAGACTTTAGTTTAATTGATCTGGGTGCAATCTGAGTGCTGGGATTTTTCAGAGCTCCCCAGGTGACTCTAAGGTGCAGCCAAGGTTGAGAACTACTGTCATAACCTTCTCTGACCTTTTCCAGTGTTCTCTGTATCCCTGAGGGTTTTCCTCTGGTTCTTCATGCTCACTTTCATCCATGGGGAATAGAAGAGATGATAAATGATGACACATCCACAATACCATTACACGAAATACACAAAATCCCAGTCCAAAGAGAACAAGGACATCTAGTATTCACACATTTAAGTTTTGCAGCACAGCCAAATCTAAGAATATAAAGCCTTTTGTGAGAAAAAAGAGGACAGGCACTCCTCATAATAACTTTGAGAGTCTTATACTCCTAGGAGCACTAAACAGTGATTAAAATCAGTTGAATTGAACTCAGGTAGCTGAAAGGGCAATAGAAATAGAATTAATTCCTAGTTTCAGACCAGAACAGACATTTAAATGCTTAAGTAGTCATTCTTCTACCTCTCTTTGCTGCTGGTTCAAATTATGTGAATTTCTCTGGCAAAGGGCAATTGTCTCTACCATGGTATCTTCAACATCCTTCAATGAGGGATCATCCTCTTTGGTATCTAGATTCAGAAAAAATTGTTAACATCACTTAAGAATAGATTAATGATAATCTCAAAGCTCCTGTAAAAATTTTTTTCTCTGTATATCCTTAGTTTTTCTATTATATAATCCTCTATGACAACTGATCCTGAGATTTAGCAGATAAAAAAAACCCAGATGATTCTGTGCAACAGTTTTCCATATCATTGTTTGACATTCATAGGACATGTAAAACTCATCAAACTTAGCATTTTAATAGGTTTTAGCTCTGGAAAATCCCCAATCATTTGTCTATAGATTAGAGAAATTTTCTTCCACCTTTCCTGCTCTATCAATTCTTCCTCTATATCTTAAATGTGGGTATTCCTCCAAGATACTATTTTAGGCCCTTTCTTTCTCATTTTTCAGTAATTTCAACCACTCTTGTGGCTGTAACTCACATTCTTGCTAATAACTTTCAAATATACAATTCCAACCCTATTCCTTTCATAATCTGCAGGTTGAGTTTTCAACATAAAGACATCTATCTCTGCACTGATGTCCTGCAATTACCTTGAACTTTATATGTGCAAAACCGAAGCCATTTTTCTCCATTTAAGTCTGCTCTTACCCCTACATTTCCAAACTAAGTTAATGGAACCATCATCTTTAAGCCAACCAGTTTATAAATCTTCCATCATCTTTGGTGCTTCCCTCTTGTTTATCCATTCAAATAAATTTCCAATTTTGTGAATTCTACTTCCATACTCTCATATGCCCACTACTTTTACCCTGGCAGAGCTCTTCATAACCTCATTTGCACTCTTGTAACAGTGCAATTTTTAACTTCTAAATCTTGCCTCCCTCATTCCCTTTTATACTGTCACTAAAGTTTTCTTAAGCACAAATACAAACACTATAAAAAACCCATCCACAAAAACCATCAAAGACTTCTAATTTTAAAAATAGAAAGTAAACCTACGACTCTAAGTAAACATAGTAAACACTCTGATTCATCTCACATTCTGTGCTCTTACATGGCCTGATTATCCTCACTCCCTGAGATTGCTGGCCAGGCACTTTTGTGTTCATGTTCTCCTCTCCTAGAAGGACCTTTCCTTGCTTTTTGCCTATCAAACTCCTATTCATCATTCCAATCTCAATTACTTCAAAGGTTACATCTTCCACAAGTTATCTTTGATTCATCAGTTATAAACAACTTTTTAATTTTCCACAATCCTTTGCCACTCTTATTGTACCTCTTTTATAATACTTGATTCTACCTGCACTAGACATTTTTATTTACATATCTGTCTCCTTTACAAGATTCTAGTTCTTTGGGTGAGGACTGTGTTTTAGCTATCTGTGTATAACCCATAAGAACTAGCAGAATGTATTGCAATTAGCAAATCCTCCAAAATTCTTAAGCATACTGTCAAAATTGAATCTGAAAGTAAATGGTAAGCATGAGATACTACTGAGAAATTTATCTTCATGGGAATTCAAGGAACTGGCTTTTCTAGACATTTCACCTGCAAATTATTGTAGTGATTTGGGGAAATATTCTTCTTACTTTTCCCTCAGTCTTTCATGTAATCTCTGCAAAAATTATTCTCATAATACTAAACTGAAAAAGAAAAATGTCATAAATGCAACAAACCTAACGTAGTCACATTCACACATATGGACAAAATGAAAATAGTAATTAAATGTTTAGTAGGACTAAATATGGAAAAGTCAACCAAGTGTTTATTGAGGTTCCAAAAATAAATAATCTACAGAGAATTAGGGTACCAGGATTGACGGGAATGTGTGGGCCAAGGGATCCAAGAAATGTGTTGGTGCATTAAAGAGGCAGAACAACCTAAAAATCACTCATCAAGTAATTCTCTGAACTTTGGGAGGGCTATTTTGAAAATGTCAAGTAAGAAGAAAACAAATATTCCAATTTAAAAGTGGGCAAAAGACTTAATTAGGTATTCAGAGAAAATATACAAATGACCAACAAGCACATGGAAAAGATGCTCAACATCAGTAATCACTAGAGAATTGCTAATCAAAACCACAATGAGAAGAGGAAACAAGATGGTGGTGTAGGTAACAACTGTACCTGCCGTCTTCCACAACCACATCAAAATTACAACTAAAATACAGAACAACCATCACTCAGAACCTCCTGAAATCTAGCTGAACAGAAGCCCTACAACCAGGGACCTGAAAAAGCATCGAGACCAAGAGCAGTGTGCCCCATACAGCTTGATAAGTGGCCCCAGGCCTGGCACTAGTGGCAGCCTGCATTGGCTCATAGCTTGGCCTCTACTGGACAACACCAAGCCCAGCACAAGTAGCAGCCAACTACGGTTTGCTGTGTAGCTCATTCTGGGTGACCTTGGGCAAGGCACTGGCAGAGGCTGACTTTGCACCTCCCTGGAGGCCCCAGAGACAGTGCACCTGGTGGTCAGACTCGACCACGTTGATTACAACCCTACCACATCCACGAGTGACACACTCAAGGGGTGCACCTGGTGAACACCAAAGCTCCACTGAAGTAAATCCTGCTCCAGAGGTGTGTCTCCAGCACAGCAGCTCTTTGGCTATAGTTGCAGCTGTCCTCACAGCTGATTGGCCGGAGGGTCCATTCCTCCCAGCGAAGCCAATAGCAACCAAGGCTCAACTACAATAGGACAGTGCACACAGTCCACACAGGGGAGCACCTAGAAGGCCCAGCTCAGGTGACTGGGGAGGCTGAGCCACTGGATTCTACAGGGCACCTACTACACAAAGCCACTCTACAAATTCCAGGAGACATAGCA